ACACGTTTCTTCAGGGTCGCCTTACCCCAGAGAGTCTTGGAGCAATTCCTTTTTAGGGCATTGCCGCCTATACGTGCGAGAACGAGTTGCATATCCGTATAACGTAGAGCCCCGAACGTGAGAATCATGTGGCCCACTTACGTAGTCCCCCTTTGGTGATGTACCCACAACATACAATATACGTTAAGCTCCTTTTTGTAGTTGTATGTTTTCCTGGAGAGCAACCACCAACCTGAGGACCTACATTAGCCTCGAAGCGTGTGACAGTACAATCACAATAAAATGGAAAATTTGAAAAAAAGCTTGGATAAATATGTAGAAAAAATAAACCAAATCTTGAACTATATACTGTTCAATTGAACATGAAAACCTTTTTTTTTCCTCACCATCAAATTTCTTGCTCTAATTTCCCGGATAAAAAAAAAGGATCCGCTAAGGCTCAAAAAAGAAGCAACAAAAAGGAGTCAGCCGCCAACCGCGTCCTATCCTATTAACGCGTTCCAACAGCTCTTTTAATAGCAAACACACAGATTTTTCATTTCCTAGATTCCAGAAACCGTGACTGAATAAATCCGAAATTAAGTATAAGGTCTATTACTTTAGATATGTACTTAAAAAATCCATCATAACTCTATAGCGAAATAATTTGACTAGAATCCACCAGGGCGACAATTTTAGTTGATTTACTGTAATCCCGCTAATGTTACTAAATTTTAAAACAACTGACAGGAAAAGTTTCTTGTTTCCTTTCGGAATGAACTCTACCGAGAGCCGCAAACAGTAAATAGACAGATCGGGACCCTCTGGAGCGCGCCGAGTATACAATTGACAAATCTTTATTGTAACCAGTAGAAGACAGCGTTGGGAGGGATGTTAGAGGGAACAGGGTGCCGACGAGTGTAAAAATCTCTCAGCCAGGATTATTGAAATCTGGAGCGGTTTTGATTTTACAGTAGCGGACGATGGACGATAATTTTTCAATGAACATACTAAAATTTTATTCCTTTAACCGCCTCATTTGTACACAGATACAAAATTTTTACAAACATTTTTAAGAAAACCCACCCAAAATGCGAAAAACCCTCTCGCCAAACCATGAGTTTTTGAGTTTTACATAAGGCGTATTTTTGTAAAATTTTATACTCAAAGATGCAGGTAAGAGATTTTGGGAAAATACGAATCAAGTTTTGGAGGATAGAGCGTAGGAACGAGATTGGTTAGTTACTGCTGCAATGAAAACTAAAAGAAAGCTTGAAATGGAAGGACGAGGGGAATCCAAGAAACTGAGATTAAAACTTAAACCATTTAAATCCTATGTTGTTAATACTGTAAGAAAGCAGGTGAAGCCGCCTTGTGGAAGAGGAACCAGCGATTATATAAAATCGGCATTTCAAGCACCTCGCAAGTGTGGCCGAGAGGAAATTAAAGTTCCTCTGTATCTGGGCACCAAAAAATTGGAGGAATTATCCCACTTATACCTCTTTTTGCTGGACTCATCGCCCTTGGAGCACTATCTGGTGGAGCTGCTGGAATTGCTAAAGCTGTATCTGATGCTCGCATTGGAAAGTCGACGTGGAATCAAAACACACAAGACTGGTTTTTGATTGTTCCTAAAGAAAATATAAAACTACCTGTAACGCTACCCAAACGAGTTCTTGGTGATGAGGATATTAGAAAACAAAATATAGTTTGAACTGAAGCAACATGAATGCTGGATAGTAATAAATGGGTAGGGTAAGTTTCTTTCTGATTGTGAAATATAAACCAAGTTTTGAGTGTGTGACAAAAAGTTGTAATTACTGCCCCTTATTGGCCTTTGTATGACAACAGATGCCATACACAATATTCTGAAAGAAACTAGATTTTCCTATTATACTGAACATTAACAATTTGAGAAAGTTTGAGTCTTTCGCGGCGCCACTGTCCCATCAGTTTTCATTGTGCCGGAAAGAATGGGCTCTAGTCTCAACAATCCGCGGCTCTGTCGGAACGTTATGCAGCTCCTTTGAATTTTTCACTTCGTTTTCCGACACGACACTCCTCCTCTTCACTGATTACCCACTTACACAAATAACGCAGATACTTTGTCAAGGACGGACCGCAACCCCCAATCAATTAGAAATAATGGATTTACGAATTGATGATTTTTTATTTATCAGAAACATGTTGTGTGCTGAGAAATTAAGTTTCTGCTTCGAATATTTACTTTTTCGCTTGAAATCTCAGATTATACTGAAAAAATGTAACTTACGAGAAAGTTTCAGAAATTATCAGTTCTGTACACTCTAAAACTTCTACCGACTGCGCCAATAACTATTCAAATCAACCTTTCAAAGAGCAACAAGCCCAAGCATTTCTTCTATTATTTTCAGGTTCTGCTCGTGTAATTGATACAACTGTAATTTGTATATCACCTAACACATATGGAGTAATAAGACAAATTAATAACATGGGTAGATTGTATATTGCATTTGGATTCGTTACAGCTTGTTCCATCCGCTCAAGCACTGCTACCTTTCTAGATATTTTTTGCGTTACTCTGCTCCTAGTTGGTATCCAAGATTTGTAGGCTTCTCCCAAAGGAAGCAAGCTTCCTGGGTCCTTATTCTTGAAACAGGGGAGCAGCGTTCCCAGGAGAACGAGTGTTTCGTCTTTGTTACTTATATTATCAATTGCATATCGTTGAGGAGGACAGAACACTCGTTTTCACTGCTCCCCTGTTTCGAGAATAAGGACCTTGGGTGGTGAAGTGCCCACCTTTTGGCGTGTTAGCCATACCCCTTTCAGACTTTTGCATATATAAGCCGGACATTCACAGATTGAATGTTCTGTAGTTTCTGATGCTTGTTCGCAAGATCTGCAGTGACCGTTGTCTAATTTGTCTATTGGTTTTAGTTGATATTTCACCAGGTAATGCCTAGTGAGCAGACCAACGACTGTTCTAATGTCTCTTTTGTTTACGTCAAGAAGTTGTTTAGATCTCTTTGCTGAGATGGATATGAACCTTTTTGCCTGTTTCAGTCCCGAACTGGATCTCCAACTCTGATGAGTTAGCATTCGGTCCTTTTCCCATCTGTTCATTTTCAAGTTGCAGTGGGGCAGGTTGACATAGCCTCTGCTGTTTCTAGACAAATTAGCTGTTGTACTTTACGTATACTGTTCTGTGCAGTTTGCTCAGTCTTTGGCTACCATACCAACGATGCGTGGGTGACAATGGATCTGACAACCGTTTTCAAATCTAATGTAACATGGTCTTTTGCACCATGTTTTTCTTACGAGTTTGCGTCATGTCCAAATTGCCGCCGTAGCTCGTATTCTTAATAAAATCCTCTAAACGATTAACAAGCACGTTTATTGAATAGAACTTAATACAGTTCTTTACATGCTAACAAGAACAGGCACTGGGCCATCACGTTGATAACTAACTGATTATTATTCAAGACCCTGTTGACACTGATTCCTTCTGGGCCATTTAGGTCGAGCATTAGTTGGTGGCAACTATGGTATTCCCTCGTTTTTATTCTCATCGGTGACTTCACCGATGAGTTAGCTATCTTTGTTCAGTGAATGGAAAATGACAATGACCGACATAGAATGGTGGATCTATCGGTAAATTTTGATGAGATTAAAAACGCAGGGTACATTGAAGTGTACTACCTTATAACAGCTCGTGATGTTTTGTTCAGATGGTGGTTCTTAGTAAGTTTGCGGTCCAGATTAACCCCTAAATACTTAACTTCATCCGAGTGACATGGGTAATATGGGTATCAGTCAACTGGTCCCATTGAAGCCTATGTGTCTAGTAGCCTCTGGTCCTGTCTGTATACCTAATATAACTCGAAAAGAAATATTTGGTAATTTTTAAATGAAATATTTGTCTCTGTTGTCTTTTTGCTAATTGATGGATAGATCGGTAGACCCACTCATTGACAACAGCAAGTTCACCAGATCCTGATCCTCTGTACTTTTTATTGCAGACCACCTGGAGATAAAAATAATTGTAATCAGAAATTCCAAAATAACCGATGGAACTTCCACGACCCTTATCTACTAGAGTTAAACAATGAAAATCATGTTCCCAATATAATATATGTTTCTGACCAAAAAACCATAAGAAATTCAATCAAAAATCACCCTTCGAAAATGCCCCGGTGGGCCAATCCATATTCATAAAATCGAGAATGACGAACAAGCGGAGAGAGGACGTGTGAATATTTACGCGTATTTTACAACCTGGGCCAACACTGATTTGCATGTGAAGTGGCGGTGCTGTGCCGCCCCTTCACCCCGGCCGCCCTCAGGGGGGGAGGCGGTGGTGCGATATGGGTGTCGTTTCATATTCCGTTTAGCGCGAAATTAGTTCAGCGTGAATTTTTGAATAAAATCGTATTAGGCAAATGTGCCGGGGAGGATGAGAAATGATTTTGTGTAGCGAGTGGACTGAAATAATTTTTCCTTTCGCGAGGGCATTTTGTGGATTTATGTAGATTCGGTTTGTGGTGAGGAAATTTTTGATTTTGGTTTTATCGTTTATGTTTGCAACTCTAGATTAATCATAGAGACGATCAAAGAAGGTTTAAAGGTGTGCCTATAATGTTCCAACAAGCCCCTTTGTGAAATGAGCTGTTGGATGACCAAAAGACTGTTTCTACCCTCATCTTATCTCATCAACATTACTTCAACTCTTCTTTTCTTCTCCCAAATACCACTAACACCATCTCTATAATAAATTCATTACCTATCTCTCAAGTTTCATTAATTCAACATATAGTCACAACAAAGCTCAAGTTGTTCAAACACAAACTGTTTCAAAATAAATTAAAAACAAATTAAATGACAGAATGCTTTATAATATTGAGTTTTCCCCATACTTATTTAACAGCCAATTAAGAATCCATTAGATTTTGAAATTCCCTAAATAAAACTTGATAATTTTAGTATATCGTTATCATTACAAATGTAAACTTCAAATATTAAAAGTCGCTTTCAAATATCAAAACATGGATCCTTTAATAGAAATAAGAAAACTCTCTCCCAGTGTAATAAGACATCTTGGAAGCCTTTTAGATTACGGCGACCAATGGAAAGACCTTATGGGTATAGTTCCAAAACAACTACCCAAAGATGACTTTGAAGCTCATATTTCTGACAGCAACCCTGCAAAATATACTGCAGATGATATCCAGTAAGATTCTTAATTTTTAATTATTCACCATATTAATCTTTATGTAATCTTAGAATAATTGCTCAAGGATCAATCCAATTGAAAAAATCCCCAACAGCAATTTTAATAGACGAATGGGGAACCTCAGGACGTCCACGTGCAAATTTAGGTCATCTAGCCCATTTGCTGACCCAAGCAAACCTGTTTAGAGCAGCTGATTATGTTTCGGTGGATTTACTCAAAAATCCAACTGTTGTCAGACCTCTAGATGGCCCTTCTTCCACAATAAAACTGGAAATAAACGATTGGATGCGTAGCGAGGAAGCCGCCAATATGAAAACCCACAAAAATCCAGGATTGGGTTCTTTGCTGAAGATGATCGATTATCCTGAATTGGACGATATTTCTGAGAGTTTATTGAATTGTCATGGAATTAAAAAGGCAAATCAAAATTTGGATTTTTTGTTGGAGGGTTTGGAGTATCCATATAGTGATGGAATTGATTCTGAAACTAAATCGGTAACAAATTCAAAAGAAGCCATTGGTAATGAAATGTTTAAGATGTTGTCAAGTGGTGCTGGAAAGGAGAACAAATTCAAAAAGGAAAAATTAAAAGGTTTATAAAAATACCATTAGGTAATGATGTTTTTTTATATAAGTATTGCTATTTTAGGTATGAATATACAATTTTCAGAAACTTCTCTAGAAAGTTCTTCAGTTCCACCGATATCCATGTTACTAGAAGAAGTTGGCACAGAAAAATGCAATAGTGTGTCAAGTCCAGGAACATGCAACCATAGCTTTTTCTCTGGACTTATGGAAAAATTTAAGAGCAAAAACGATTTTGAGGAATATTCTAATATTCCAGCTTTCAGTAAGATTTTGAACGACCATCAATTTTCAAAGTGTCACGAGAACAAAGTGAAAAATGTGGATGATGTTTCGATTTGTAGTAGGACAAGAAGAAATTCGTTATAGATTGATAATAAAGTTGGTTTGATTTTTGTTAATTTGGTGTTTTTTTAATTGTTTCGAAATATACTTATAGAGATATGCGAGAAGCTAAATGTTTCTGTAAATTTTTTTCACAAAATTCCTGTTTAAAATCATTTTTAGACCAAATACGGCAAATTGTGTACAAATTAGGCAAAATTACGAGGAAATCCGAGGATATCTGAGGCAATTAGGGAAATCATAAGGTAGTCAGAGAAAATCATTAGGAAATCTCAAGGAACTCGAGTAAAATCTCAAGGGAATCGGGAAATCTTAAGGAAATCAATCAATCTCTAGATCTAACGCATACGCAGTTTTATCTAAAGAAATCAGGGAAAATCATCATCATCATCATATCATTTGTGTGCACAAAAACTGACCTGCGGTTTACCCCTCCTCAAGAGTAAGCCACAAGGGAAATATGATTTAAAAATGAGGGGAAATCTAAGCAATCAGTGGAAGTCATAAGGAAATTGGAGAAAATCATGAGGAAATCAAGGCGAATCTTGAGAAACTCGGGGGAAAATTTAAGGAAATCATGGGAAATCTTAAGGAACTCAGTCCAAGATTTCCAAAAACTTCATAATTTAAGGTTACGTTATCAGGGGAACTCTTGGACAATCTTCAATCTTACTGGTACTTATAAGAAATCATCCATATGTTTTTCTCAAACCGTAATCTGGTGACGGAAACTGACCTACGGTTTACTCCTCAAGGGTATAAACCGCAAGGGTAATCTAGTGTACAAATTAGGGGAACTCGAGAAGAAATCCGCGGAAATCTAAGACAAATCAGGGGAAATCATGAGGAAAACAGAGGAAATTAAATGATATCTCAAGGAACTTGGGGGAAATCTTAAGAAAATCATGGGAAATTTTAAGAAAATCAATCAATCCTAGATCTAACGCATGCGCAGTTTTCGAAATTCTCTATAATTTTAGGTTATATTATCAGGGGAACTCTTGGCCAATCTTACTGGTAATCAGAAGAAATCAGGGAAAGTTATGGAAAATCATCCATGATTTCCCCTAAAACCGCAATCTGGCGTACAAAAACTGTCCTGCGGTTTACCTCTCAGGAGTATAAACTGAAAATTCGAGGAAATCAGAGGAAAATCCTAAGAAACTCGGGGAAAATCTTAAGGAAATCATGAGAAATCTTAAGAAAATCAATCATTCTCTAGATCAAACGCGTGCGTAGTTTTCGAAAACCTTTATAATCTAAGGTTATGTTATCAGACGAACTCTTGGGCAATCTTACTGGTAGGTAATCAGAAGATATTAGGGTTTATCCTCTATGATTTCTCCTAAAATCATACAAAGCTGACCTGCGGCTTAACCCTCAGAGGTAAACTGCAAGGAAAATTTGATGTAGTAGGTACAAAATATTGGAAATCAAGAGGAAATCCAAGGAAATTTGAGGAAATCAGGAGAAATCATAAGTAAATCAGAAACAATTATCATGGGAAATTTTCAAAACATCAGTCAATCTCTAGATCTAATGCATACGCAGTTATTAAAAATCTTTCTTACCTCCCTTGTAGATGTTCATATCAAGCATAAAGTTATTCCAACGCAATTTATCGTCTTTCCAGATACACAAACCCGTACATTACTCGGAATGGACTTCATACAAGATGCAAAAATCATTCTGGACACCGCCGCTCAAAAATGGGGGTTCTCTGATGATCCAGAAAACACCTGTCGCTTATGTCTTCTGTTGACGTCCTACGCCCTGATGAAGGCGCTATATTGACCACAGAAGAAAGGGCCAGGTTAACTAACTTACTAGAAAATCGGAAAAATATCTTTGAAGTGGGGGGAGAACCAACCCCCTATGCGAATCATTATATCAACACTAAAGATCATTTGCCCATAGCCATGCCACCATACCGTAGTATGGCGCCTCAAAAAAATCTTTACTCAAGGAAGAATTGAATCGCCTTCTTGACGAAGGTATAATCGAAGAATGCGAAAGTCCATGGGCCGCAATTGTGGTTTTAGAACTCAAGAAGACAGGTGGGGTGCGCCTGTGCTTTGACTATCAAAAACTAACCTATATCCCTGTGACTGATTATTATCCACTTCCGCGCATAGATGATCTCTTGCATGCCGCCAAACGTACTACGTATATGTCTACCATCGATTTGAGATCCGGTTATCACCAGGTTAGTGTGCATGAACCAGATCGTGACCAGACTGCTTTTGGGACATATCGTTACACGCGCATGCCGTTCGGCCTTAAAAATGCACCAGCAACCTTCCAACGGCTAATCGATCAGTTCCAGAACGGATTGACCAAAGATAGCGGTACTTATAGTAGCTCTAGCGTACTTGGATGATCTTATTGTCTTGTCCAGTTCATGTGATGAGCACTTAGAGGATCTAAAACTAGTGTTTGATAGGCTTGAACAGTTTAAGCTTCGGGCAAATCACGAAAAGTGTGTGGCACAAGTGAAGTATCTCGGACATTTATTCACGCTACAAGGACTTTCCGTGGATCCAGATAAAACAGCAGCCATTGCTGAACGCCCATGTGTCTTCCCTACATACTACAATGTCCTACCTCGAAACGTCCATGTGGTACAGTCTTCCCTACAAACAGCGAGTTGGTACCGACGTTTTATAGAGAACTTCGCCGATATATCTCGCCCACTCAGTAACTTAACCAAAAAGGATACTAGTTGGAAATGGATAACAAAAGAGCAGGGAGCAGGATTCTTTTGACACTCTTAAGACTTTTTTGGTTACTGCTCCGATTTTACAGCAGTATGACGGAACCAAACCATTCATTATCCGAACCGATGCTAGAGGTTATGTCCTCGGAGCTGTTATCCTTTAAGGCGAAGAAAAAGTGGAACATGCTGTTGAGTACGCGACTCGACTCTTAAGTAGCACTGAGAGAAACTAGTGAACTACCAAGCGAGAAGCATTAGCAGTAGTATGGGCACTAAACAAATTCCGATGCTACATAGAGTGTTCGCCGATCACCCTGCAGACGGATCATCAACCCTTGCAATGACTGTTGAATATAAAATCGCCCACCGGCATACTAGCTCGTTGGGCTTTACAAATCCAAAGTTTCAACCTGAAAATCGAGTATTTGCCAGGCAAAAGAAACGTCATTGCTGACATGACTAGACCGCCATGTAACCATCAACTTGAGAAGAATTGTGAAATCTGTACTATAGCTATTGAGTTACCACACCGTAGTGCCTATGAAGTCAGACAGGAAACAACTAAAAGACCCTGATCTTGTCAAAATCATGCAAAATCCTGATGATACTGGCATAAACTTTCGTAAATGGACAGAGCGATCCGTTGATAAGATATTATTTCCCTGGTATGCGCTGTTTCATCGCTGAATATTTTAAAAGCTGTGTGGATTGTCAAAGATACAAGGCATTCATAGAATAAGGCATCTAATCAAAAACCGGCGGGTCTTTTGCAAACACCTGCATTTAATCAGTGTTTTGAGATCCTAAGTATAGACTTATTTGGACCTTTACCGCCTGGAGCCAGGGATGAAAATTGGATTTCCATTGTGGAGAACTCTTCCACAAAATGAGTTGAGTTATTCGTCTTGACACAAGCTACATCGGAAGAGTGTGCCAATACCCTGATTAATGAGATTTTTTTCAGATATGGACTATCCGCTGTCATGCAACAATTTTGTTTTATTTTGGGCATTAAACAGACATTCATACCCTTGTACCATGCTGCTTCAAATATGATGGATCGAAAGAACAGGGATCTTAAGGTCAGACTCGCCATACTTGTTAAAGAAGATCACGGCACTTGGCCTGAAGGGTTACCGATAATTAGATCTGCCATAAACTTAGTTAGATTCAGTAAAATTTCGTAGTTTCTTGTAAAGTTTATGGAATATATGCGTATTTGAAGAGAAAGGGGCAAGAATTTCATTTAGTTTCCTGGAACCCATGAAGTATCTTTCACAAAGTTTATTTACAAATTAACAGAAAAACATGAATACATTTGAAATAACTAATTCAATCGAATATTAATTTACAAGAATTTTCTTTTATACAAAAGAATCCTTTTTTTAAAAAAACTAAAATAAATAACAATTTTTTTACATATTAAAACAGAACAAAAAGAAAAAAGATTAATCACAGAATAATAATATAATTAAAATAAATTGCATTAAGAATATCAAATTGGCAATAAAAATACAAAATATCGTGATAAAATTAGGGTAACTCTAACCTGGTGAAATAAAACTAGAATAATAAGAGGAGAAAAATTAAAAAAGACATAAATATACAAATAAGAATCATTCTAATAAAAAATATTAACAAAATTCACTTAATTGACTAGAAACAGACAAATTTTCAAATAATATATTTCATCTTAGAATATTAATTTACCAAACTAGTGAAAATTTAACAAACATCTCAAAACGTCGATTATTGCTTAATCCCATTCTCCAATGTAAACAGTCCCTGGAGGAACAGGAATGTAGCCTCTAGAAGGTTGAGCCTGGTATCTGTAGTACATTGTGTAGTTGTTGTATGGCGATTGGGAAGATCCTGCAGTATCTGAAAATCATAATCATTAACCTCAGCTCTAAATAACAGTTTTTGATCATCAGAAAAATCTTACATTGATTGAGAGCAAACATAGAAAACTAAATTACCTAATCCACTATCCAAACTTTTGGCACTCCACAAAGAAGACGGCGGCGGCGCCAACATGTTGGGATGTTTCACTTGCGACACCCTCCTAACATGTTTCTCCATGGGAGTGGGATGGTACGTCTTCGGCTGATGGTACCCGTAGATCGGTTGATTTTGCAACATTTGCTGGTGCTGCAACTGAAGCTGCTGTTGTTGCTGAAGCTGCTGCTGTTGCTGATATTGTTTGCAGTTGGGCTGGTGGAACTTTTTGCCGGTCAGTTTGGCCACGAAGTTCGGGATGCGGGCGCGCATACCGCAATAGTATGGATCATCTAGAAATATTTTTGGTTTTGAATTCACAAAAAAAAAAAAAAAATACTAATAATCACCTGGCTGTTTCTTAACTTTCTTCACTTTGTTTTTATTCTTCTTTGATGGTATTCTTCTGATGGAGCTTGAAGTTGGTTCCACACGAGTATTGTCATAGTCAGGCTGCGGAACATTGAAAGGTTCCAATATTTTTCTGGGAGGTAATTCGGGAGGATTGCTAGCCCTTATAGCACCGTAGCCGCTGGTTTCGTTCAGGGCCATATTGCTTCCGTAAATTTGCTGACTGTCATTAGACGGGTACTTGCCGTTTGTCATGGTACCGCTGATGGCGATAGCGCCTTTGGAACCTGCACAAACTGAGTAGGCGTCTTCGTCCGTTGGGGCTGGTATCGGGGCGCGAGTTTGGATGTTTCTGATTGGATCTGTGAATAGAAATTTGAGGTTTTGAATGGAAATCTCTGGTGAAATAAGGTAACTCACCCATAGGTATTTGAGATTTGAGCATATCAATAGCAACCATATTGATGATGAGCATCCACAAAGGGCATTTCAGTTCGGAGTCATTTTTAACAAACGCTATGGCGCTTAAGCATTGATTTTCTAGTCTTCGTCTGTTGGGGTAGGCTCGTTTGAGTTCATTGGTTACGTTTAACTACAAAAAATGTACCATTAATAATAATGAAAGAAACTTCAGTGGGTTTCATTAGATAAAAGTGGAAAAACTCTTACTTGGAACTTTTTCATGTCAAACAATGTAAACGCTTTGTTGGGTTCCAAAGCTCCGTGGGGTAATTTGAGCACTTCACTGGATATGGCACTTTCTTCATCTAAGGTGGTGTGTTTTATGAAAACATTTGAGCGCGAAAGTCTTTTGATCAGGATATTGCCGTCCTCGTCCATTTTGATTTTGACACCATGACCAACATGACGTCGACATTCTTCGGTCTTTTTGTCTCGCAATGGATTTTCGAATCCTGATAGACCAATTCTGAAATGGAAGTTTCCAGTCACAAATCTCAGGAAGTAGGTAATGATTTGGCATAGTGGTAGTTTGGAAGACATTCAATGGTAACTCAGAAAACGGAAAATGGATTTGACAAAGTACATTTCAGAAGATGGAAATTGTAATTCAGAATAGGAAGTTATTAATCGAAAATAAAATTTGAAATTCAGAAGAGGAGCATAATATTCAGAAATGTGTAATTGCCTTATAGGTATCTACATTGCTTCTGATATTGCTATGCTATAGAATTGCTACAGCAAGGAGCTTCAGAACTCAGAAGAAACTTTTCGCTGTAATTCTAGTTCCATAAAAGGATTGTTCTGAATATCCTGCAACTTTGGAACATTGAAATTTGCTTCTGATCTTTGTTGAACAGAAGTGCCATAAAGATGAAAATTAAAGCCTCATACAAGTCTCAGAAGGAACTTCTTATATACCTTACCTAAATCCATCAAATCCTGCATCAGATCCATTAACAGTCAAAACAGGAGCCCTAGCATAAGCCTTAGCAACTCTCCTATTTCTTTCTAGTACCACAACTTTCGCCCATATCTCGTCGTCGATTTGTGTCCACTTATTCAAAACTTCTTGTATATGATCCTGAAAATAAATAAATCTCACATGAAAAATGTATTTAATTTGTAGTTTCAAACATAATTAAACGGCAGTTAAAATTGCACAACGGTGCTACAAATTATGAATGCGACCTTCCCAAACATTTTGCAAGTCAAAAAGATCGTACCGTGGTGCACGGTACTACAACCGTGTTGAGCAACGGTTCTCGATATCGTTTTAACATTTGCATTTTTATTCGTTCTACTGGGTGTGAACAAATTATAGAGTACATAAATATCAAACGTTTGCACATTTGTTTATACGAAGAAAAGAATACCTACTTATATACTTATTAGCTGACGATTGTTTCTAATAGAATCCTCATGACATGACACCACTAGTCATGGAAACAATCGTCCGCTATATATTATGAGATTTTATAATAAGACAAAGCAAAGATCCGAAACTGAGGTTACCCTACAAACATGAGCCCCAAATTGATTCAGAATGCATTTTATGTAAATGCTGCTTTACTAGTTACTGTTCAAGTGACACTAACAATGACAAGTGACAATTGAAATACCTTCATGCTTGTGTTAAGTAGGCTGTATACATCTTTATTCTCATTTCCACACATTCTTCTGTAGGTTTTTCGTCCTTGTCACTAGACGTCCTCCGGCTCACCCAGTAAAGTCCGGTTCAACCGTGTGCGTTATTTTTCTCGCTCTTTAATTTAATGTCAAACGGTTAAACTATGACGCATAGCAAAAATTCTAGTGTAATTTTTTTTACACTTACTTAATTATCCGATTGGTTGTTTATCATTGTTCTGAATTGGATCTATGCGTTGCGTAACGATAAACAAAAGGAAATATTTTAGGAGTTACGCATATATAGCTTTGTCAATAACCGCAAATTTTTGCTTTTTTAGAAATCTGAATTTTGTATTTTTTTCCTTTTTTAACGTTGCGGCAAATAAATTAAGTGGATCGCAATAGAATGTGGCGTAACATTTTTGCATGATTCGATGGCTTTAGCGGGTTTTGGGTACCACTTGCCAGTCTCAATTTTCAAGAGAAGTTGACCGGTGACTCCCGCACCTTGATATCTCGATTCGTTTTTAAACTACAAGAGGAAAAGTTGACCAAATTTTCATAAATAAAAAAGTTATAGCCCCCCTGCTAAACTCCAAACTTTTCAAAAACACGTCGTAACATAAAAACGACTCGACATATCGAGATGCAGTTTTCATCAGTTAATTTCTCTTGAAAATCGAAGCTCGCAAGTGGGGGTCAGATTTCTTCCAACTTCTCTAGAAATACCTGAAACCCCCCAAAACCATAGAATCTTGGACACCCTGTACATAATAAGTACTTATGACTCAGTTTGAGTTTGTATGATGCACAAACTTTGAACTTGTGCGTACTGTGTCATTTCTAAGCGTTTTTAAAGCCATTCAATTACTTCATGATGCTTGGTAACAAACTTTGACATTTCAAAATATTCATCTTCAAATCAAGTCGAGTTGAGATTTCTTTTTGAACAGTATATGATCAATTTCTGATTTTTGATGGAACAAATTAACATTCAAAATGCATAAGTTACCATATCAGAAATAATTTGAGCTGACACTTTTTAGCCAGTATTTTTGTGCCTTGTACAAGGTTGTACACAGAGGTCTTTCACTGGGTGGTGTTTCATATTCATTCCGGTTCTATATTTGGTTGTCTGTACCTCGCAGTTCACCAGGATGTGTCTGGCTGTCTCGGCTGCCTTATTGCAGAGTTTGCAATTAATGTATCCATCGTACAGGTTCATCCTGTTCAGGTGGACCTTTACTGGTGTGTACCCAGTCAAGAGTCCCGTTATGGTTCTTAGTCGGTTCCTGCTCATTTGTAGCAATTCTGCGGCCCTTTTGCTGCATGGTTGGTCGATAAGTTCCCTACCATGATTCTGCCTGGAAGTTGTGCAGTGTCGCCGATGTTCTTCACGAATCTAGTCTTTGGCTTCTGGCCATAGTTTCTGGTATCCCTAGAGCCTTTTCTGGCCCGATAAGTTTTATTTCTGACTCTCTCTTTGCGAGTTCACCAGCTTTTTCATTCCCTTCGATTCCTCTGTGTCCTGGCACCCAGATAAGTTTCACCTTATTCTGGTCCGCAAGGGCCCTGAGTTATAAGAATTATTAAGATATTATAAGAATCTGCTTGTTGGCTGTGGCCAGGCAGGTGTGTGTCAAGATAGGTTTGACCATCATGCTGTGTGTCCATTGTCCAATACAACAGGTCTGGTCTTAACCCCCTAAATTTTCCATGCAAGCCTCTAGCTATCATGGTTGACGGTACCGCATTTTTGGTGGTATTTTCCAGATGTTGATTCCAGGTAAGTTTTGAGTCCAGTGTTACCCCCAAGTACTTGACCTCGCTCGAAATCTGTATATTTTCACCCCATAATCTAAGAGGTTCCATGTCATCTATTTTTTGCCTTCGAGTAAATGCCACGATGGTGGATTTATTGGGACTAATGTTTAGCCCTTCTCTATCCACCGATCTTTTTGTTTGGTCTAAAGCGTCTTGCATTCGCTCCCTAGCTGTAGAGTTGAATTTATCCCGTGAGATGATGACTATGTCGTCAGCATATCCGAGGGCACTGTGTCCTACGTCAGTGAGCACCTTAAGCAGGTCGTCCGCCACTAGATTCCAGGTGTGGGAATAATACCCCGTCCTGTGGGCATCCCCTGTACACCCTGGCCGCCATTGTCTCATCTGCGATGGTGGTTTCTACCATTCGAGCTCTTAGCATGGAGTTAATCCACACACAGCAGGTGTCCTCAACTCCTTTGTGCTTGAGAGATCTGGTTATTGAATCGAAGGAAGTGTTGTCGAAAGCTTCCTCTATATCCAAAAAGGAATCCAGCATCATCTCTTTGTTTGCCAGTGTGTTCTCCACCATACTGACCAGCTGCTTCTGTTGACATCCCTGTCCGATACGCATATTGATCTTGGTGGATGTTATGTATTTTGTAAGAAATTACGCTGTAGATGTGACTCTTTTATTATCAAATATCCTAAATTTAACAATAACTAATAATAATATTATATACATAACAGTGGAGTGGTCTGTTTGCGAAAACACCGTCCTTAATGTGTCTATCTACAAGTTTTTCCAGTGTCTTGAGCTCAAATGATGTAAAACTTCTTGAACATTCTGATACTTTGTAACAAAGTTTGACATTCAAGATTCTCCTTCTGCTTTCAGATTGAGTTGAGGATTTTTTAAACATTCTGAGCAAATTCTGATTTTTGATGGAACAAATTAAGATTCAAAATACATCAGTTACCATATCAGAAATAGTTTGAGCTCACAAATAATTTCTGAGTTACTTTTGAATGTTCTAAATTCTGGATACTGTATATTTAAGCCTCTTTAAGGCTTCCTAATCGATATCTGATGCTTTGTTATAACATTGATATTTCAAGATACTCATCTTCAAGGCAAACCGAGTCGAGGCTTTTTTGAACATTCTGATTGATTTCAGAGGCTTGTTGTAACAAATTTTGACATTTAAGATACTCATCCCCCATTCAGTTCAAAATGAGCATTTTTTAAACATTCTGAGAAAATTTTTGATGAAATGAAATTGACATTCAAAATTGTACATAAGTAATCATATCAGCAGAAACAGCACTTCACCAACTGGTCAGCATGGTGGACAAAGAGAATATGCTTCCTTCTTGGATATAGAGGGAGCTCTTGACAACACTTTCTTCGATTCACTAATCAGATCTCTCAAACACAAAGGAGTTGAGGACACCTGCTGTGTGTGGATCAACTTCATATATGCTAAGAGAAAGAATGGTAAAAACCACCATGGCAGAGGAGACACTGGCGGCCAGGTTGAACAGGGGATGCACACATATGGCGGAGTATTATCCCTACTCCTGTGGAATCTAGTGGCGGACAGCCTACTTAAGGTGCTGACTGACGGAAGACACAGTTGACACAGTGCCCTCGGATATGCTGACGACATAGTCATCATCTCACGGGGTAAATTCAACTCTACAGTTAGATAACAAGATGGGTGGATAGAGAAGGGCTCAACATAAGTCCCAATAAATCCACCATCCTGGCATTTACCCGAAGGCATAAAATACAAGACCTGGGACCTCTTAGATTAAGTGGTGAAGATATACAGATTTCGAGCGAGGTCAAGTACTTCAGGGTAACACTGAACTCAAAAGTTACCCGGAATCAACATCTGGAAAACACCACCAGAAAAGCGGTAACATCACTCATGATAGCCAGACGCTTGCATGGAAAATTATGGGGCTTAAGACCGCATATGCTGTATTGGACATATAACATGATGGTCAAACCTATCTTGATATACGCCTCCCTGGTGTGAGTAGGGAATATGTAGGAGCTCTGGCTCAAAATAGAGACGAGTCAGAGACGCTTCCCCTACCACTGAAGATACAACCATCACCTGCGCCCTCTATGAATCCCCTTACCACACAACTCACTCAAGATACTACCATCCCCCTACCACTCAAGATACAACCATCGATCGTGCTGGTTTTGATGGCTTTGTGCTGGATTTTGCTGGTTTTCACTGGTTTCGTGCTGGTTTTCACTGGTTTCATGTTGGTTTTGTGCTGGATTTTGCTGGTTTTGTGTTGGTTTGGCTGGTTTCTACTATTTCTGTTCTGGATTTTGCTGGTTTAGCTGGTTTTCACCTGACTTGGAAGGGAGATTGCTTGAGATGGAAACTAGGAGAATAATTACCGGTAAATTGCAGGGATGCTTTACCTACTATTTTGAGTGCGCTATAGGAGGATGGTTGTATCTTGAGAGGTAGGGGGATGGTAGTATCTTCAGTGGTAGGGGGATGATAGTATCTTCAGTGGTAGAGGGAGTGTCTCTTTGTCTCGTCTCTGGTTTGAGCCAGAAAACCTACATACTCCCTACTGGTGTGGTGGCCCAAGACTCTGCAGGGAAGTGTTTTACGCCAATTTAGCCAAGTGCAAAGACTGGCCTGCTCAGGAATAATGAGGTCAATGCGATCTACACCAACAGCAGCCATGGAGACCCTCCTAGACATCCCACTTCTACACATAGTAATACAGAGGGAAGCAAGGATGGGAGCGTACAGACTGCAGCCGACAACCGCCTCCAACAAAAGGACGAGACACATGGCAATCGTGGGGAAAGAGATTTTCAACATAAAGACCCGCTACATGCCAAGACGATAATGTCTAAACAGACCATTGGAGGTGAGCTTCTCAAGCAGAATTGAATGGCATACCGGAGACCAAAAAAGACCAGACCTGGTACACAGACGGGTCGAAGACCGCGCCTGGTACCGGATGAGGGATATACTCCGCCAACTATAGCGATCACTATACACTGGGACGACATGCTTCTGTTTTTCAAGCAGATGTATATGCTATACTCCAATGCTCAGCGGAGAACAACAGGAAAACTATAGCCAACAGGAAGATGTTCATAATCTCTGATTATCAAGCAGCACTGAGGGTACTCGAGCCAGTCAATGTCATCAAGACTAGTATGGGAATTTCCACGAAGAACTCAGGGCCTTGGCGAACCAGAAAAAGCTAAAACTTATCTGGCTTTCAGGACACAGAGGAATCAAAGGCTCTTCATTGCCTTTGATACCTCTGCTGATGAACTCGCAAAGAGAGGGTCAGAAACAAAACTTATCAGGCCAGAACCGGCTACCTAAGGGATACCAAAAAGTATGACCAGAAGCCACATCAAAGACTGGATTCATAAGGAATATCAGCGACACTGGACAGCTTACAGGCAGCATCATGGTAGGGAATTAATCGACCAACCATGCAGCAAGAGGGCCGCAAAATTGCTCAGTTCTCTTATTGATTTCTGATGATTTTCATAACAATATTTGATATTTCAAGATACTCAGTCGAGTTGAGACTTTTTTGAACATTCTAACGAACTTTTACGTTCCATTTTCAAGCTAAGTCGAGTCTTTTTTGAACATTTTAGTTTTTGATGGAACAAATTGGCATTTAAAATACTCAACCCAATTTCAATCTAGCATTACTGAGCATATTTGAAATGTATTCAAATCTATTGATAATTTTGCTACACTTCAATTTGCTACAACTCACTAAAAATCTCCAAATTCTCCATGTACCTAATTTTTTTTTTCAGATTATCGAGGTTCTTAATCAGTTTAACATAAAAACTAAATGCACATTATGTAAACTCGTCCGACTATGCGAAACTTAAATCCAATTAAATTAAAATTCTTTAAAAGGATGTTCCAATTAATTTGTACTAAAAACAAAAAAGTGAAAATTTCACATGGATTATAAACAAGTAGTAGGTAAACATCATAGTGAAATCTTCCATTCGTCTATAGGTATATAAAAGGTGTTGTTTTGTAATGGCGAAGAATTTTTATGGGTTTTCAATAATCCTGGTTGCCTTAATTTGGTTTTATAAGTTATGTCATTTAGGGAAGTACTCACTTTGAATAACTTTTCCTTTTGATACCAAATATCTTCGGAGTCTTCAGGTTGCGGATTCGCTAGCAAGTTAATATCATCTCGGGATTTCGACAGGATTTTTCTTCTGGATACCATTTTTTCATTGAGATCTGCAAGCAACCAAAACCAGTTGACATTAAGTTATTATTCGATTACATTTTAATGGAGCCAAATTATTGCTAGATTATGAAAATAAACACCTTTGGAATTTGGGTGACGACCTTGTTTTAATTCGATATTAAATTTTTGGAGAACTTGAAGAGTGACTAAAAGGGGAATATTTAAAAATTTGCATCATTTTTGGATTAGGTCAAGAGCAAAATTGAAGTAGGTAGGTAGATGAAATGTTGCACAATTTGACTTCAAAAAATCTGTGTAACTTTGAAGTTCGTATAAGTAGTTCAATATTAGTTAAAAATGCGCACAAACCAGTTTAAACATGTGTTACATAAATCGAAATTAATTTAAGTAATGATTATAATAAAGTAGCGCTGCACTGGTGCAAGAGTGAAAGTTGTTCGAGCTCGGTTTTGAGTGTTGAATATGTAGTAGTATCATGTAATAACATTGAAATCACCTGTATTAAGATATGCTTAATAAGAAGAATTTTAATTATTATTATTTATTTTTTTGTTAATTGGGGAGTCCTTCAAACAAGTTGTTAATTATTTTGATCCATGTAGTTTGTCATTTTTATGCGGTTTGGGTTGGTACAATATATGCATTAAAATTATGATTAGTAAAGTTAAGTACCAGATAATAATATACAATTACTGTTTTCGTATAGTAATTGGACTTGTACATTTAAACGAAACCTATTCAAACTACGTTATTATATTGCGAATTTAATTTGGAAACAATAGGAAAAAACGAAAGTACAAAACTATGGGTTTTATGTGAAAAACGTGCCGCACATCTCTATAATATTTTACAAGACCAGATGTTCTTGTTCTTAATAATAATTTTCGTAATTACAGGTAATGATGTACGATTTTCTGGTTTCTTTTTTTCAGATGATAATATGGCTAGAACCATCAAGAATTATTATTAAATCAAAAATGGTTTTAAATTGCTTGCACACATGGCATAAGAGTTTCCAATTTTCTAATTTATTTTTTCTTCATCTATGGAGACACAAATACACAAAGAAAATACACGTATCTATAGTATTATTTTAATATTATGCTAATAAACTCGTGTTCATTAATATGTTGGTTTGCGTAACTGCCCATGTTTTACATACAGAAAAATTCATAATTTAAAAATATAGAATTAATTTATTTTGATTCTATATCTATGATTTGTGTCCATACTTGTTTTAATTGGTTTAAATGATCATTGAAAATTAGCAAACGTTCAAAAGGAACTTATATCCTCATTATATTATTGATATTGCTTGGCAACACTGGAATACTCAACAACGATTTCGTTATTGAGCCACCCTGTAAGGACACATTTACATAAACAATAAGCAATATCGAATCAGATGGCAAGTTAGGAAAAAATCTAAGAGAAAGGAAGGTATAGTTTATTTATGAGACATAAATAAGAATAGGATTTCAAATTGCTAAATACTAAATTGATAATAAAAGACAGGTTTTTACGTAAGGACATTATGGTATAGAAAATTGTAATGACTTGGTTCAAATCTTCAACTTTTGCAAATAGTTTTGTTGAGTAAGAAGGTTGATGTTTCGGGGTTTGGGGGATTCCACCTGACACTCTCAGACTGTGATCATAGTTTGCCTTATCTCAGAGTTTTGTTGCTCTAAGTAGTTGATATCGGATTTGTTTGTACCATAAGAATGCGAGAAGCTTTGACATAAATCTCATTCCTGATTTAGAACAATTTTAAATACACTGACCAATCGTCCAGAGAGGTTTTTGGCAAAATAAACCTCTGTTTCAAACCTATCTTTGTAACTGGACTGTTTGTTCATAACAACCTAATATTTGAGACTGAACTGAACTGATCTCGAACGAAAGGTAATTTTCCCAGAATAATATGATAATTTTTAGTGGAAATTTCATGGAAAAAGGAGGAGATCAGATTAGCACCTCCAACCAAAGAAGTGCTGAGATGATAATGGAAATCTAAGAAAGCGTTGAGGAAATTTAGAAAAATTTGAGAAGGTATTGGTACCAAGAAATTTTGGTTCAATTTTTGCTGGTTTTGCTGGCAAAACCTCTCTTCACTTGTACAGACAGGAAGTAGAAAAAAGTGACCATTGGAAATTGGATGAAAAAATCGCCAAAACAAGCAATGCTTACTCTCTAGATTTTTCTAACTTATGAATTTGATTTACTGTGTATTATAGATATCCTGAATATTCTGGGAAAAGTCGGAAAAAGCCTAAGGTAGAAACTCCAACGAAACCACCTGAACATCAGTTTCCTTGCTCTAAGGAAGTGCAAAAGAAGTAGGGAGAGTGTGAAGGAAGTTGGTGGAAATTTGAGGAAGTTTAAAAAAATTCAATAAGCAATACAATAATCATCAAAAACGTGCGTACCAATAAGTTTCCATCAAGTGCTTACCTTTCACTTCCAGAAGCTAAATCCATAAAAAAAATGTCTAGTCCACACACAACCACTCACTAATAATCGATGAAATGGACCGATTGATCAATAATTAAACAAATAACAACAAATTAAAAAAAAATAATTCAGCTAACGAAACAGTTGAACGCGCACAACTAATACTAACTAGGTATACTAATCCAGTAAAATTCGCGGTGTGTCTTTAATTGACATTCACTTCTTCGGCGACGGCAGCGGCGCGACTTTCACAACACCAAATGCCACCCAGCCTAGACCTAAGGTCACTTTATAAACGTTAAATCGAATTAATCGTTTTATTATTTTTAGAGATCGGTACTTTTTGATAAGGTCGTACCTCTACTACCTGAAGAATGCGCATTTGGCAATTTTGCACGATCGATAAAAGTGTCTATGGATGAATATTATTAGTAATTTCTCAAATAGCATTTGTTGGGTAACGTCATCCTGACGTTGAGTTTACCACCTTTACCAACTTTTTACACCAGATTGCAGCTATGACAATGTAAACGTTATCGGTGATTATTATTGGTCGGATATATTCCTAGGTTGAAAGAAAACATTATAAGCTTTACCAAAAAAAAAAAAAACTATACAACGTCCAATCAACGTTGGTTATGACAACTCTGACGGCGATTTTATATTGAATTTACCAGATGAAGGACTTCATGAGAAATACAGTAGTTTATATAATGCATGTGAATAAATCAACCGTTGTTGCAGTGGCGGATACAGTGGGGGGGGCAATGAGATTATGTACAGGGTGTTTTTTTTATGTATTGACACCCCACCTATAGCCTTTACCTTTACAGGTCAAAAACAAAAATTGAATGTCAGAAATGTGAAATATTGCATGCTTTCAGCTTTTTTCAAATGGGATGCCCTAAATTTGATTCTATATTTTTGAAGAACACAATTTCCCGATTCCAAAACTATATAGTTTGTCTATATTTGGTTGAGCCGTCTCCAACATATTTGGTTCTAAAAATTTTAAAAATATTATCAGAGAAACCAAATACCTAAATTTTTACCTACAGCTTTCCCCTGTACAGGTAGAATGGTTCACAAAATCAGTAGTAGGATAATATTTTTACAATTTTTGGAGCCAAATATATGAGAGATTGCTCAGTCAAAATAGATCGGGGCATTGGGCTCTTCAAGAATATAGAATGAAATATAGGGCATCTCATTTGAAAAAAGCTGGAAGCATGCAAATTTTCACATTTCTGATATTCAAATTTTGTTTCTGACCATAATTTCTGAAAATTCAGCCAAGACTGTACAACTTTTGTATTTACACCTTTCTTCTACCTGTGAAGGTAAAGGCTGTAGGTAGGGTGTCAATATATAAAAAAACACCCTGTAGAAATAAGTGGATTATTGCGGAACTTATGGGTGGACATCTGCGGGACGAGCGCAGCGAGTTCCGCAGCCATCTACTCACCAATATACTGTTGAACTGATCAAATAAGACACTCACCTAAAACGTGTAGTTTTTGAACTAATGAGAAAAATTCACAACTGAGTGAATCAGGTTAGTATTGTACTTGAACAATATATTGGTGAATAGATGGCTGGGTCAACCCATAAGTTCCGCAACAATCCACTCGTTTGTACTTGAATAACTTGTCAATGTATTACTAGTTTGGTAAAGTAACATTACTAATTCCTGTTACAAGGCCAATTGACAAAAAGTGGATAATCTTACAAATTCTGACTTTAAATAATAAGTTATTGTTCAAATACGAATAAGTGGATTGTTACAGAACTTATGGGTAGACCTCTGCGGGACGAGCGCAGCGACTTCCGCAGCCATCTACTCACCAATATACTGTTGAACTGTTCAAATAAGATATTCACCTGAAACGTGTACGTTTCAAACTAATGACAATAACTCACATTTCAGTGAGTTAGGTTAATATCGTACTTGAACAACAGATTGGTGAATAGATGGCTGGGTCAACCCATAAGTTCCGCAACAATCCACTCATTTGTACTGGAATAACTTGTCACAATATATTACTAGTTTAGTAAAGTAACAATACTAATTCCTGTTAAAAGGCCAATTGACTAAAAGTGGATAATCTACAAATTCTGACTTTATATAATAAGTTATTGTCCACGTACAAATAAGTAGATTGTTGCGGAACTTATGAGTGCATAGCTCCGCAGCTATCTAATCACCAATATACTATTGAACTGTTCAAGTAAGACATTCACCTGAAATGTATAATTTTTAAACAAATGATAATAACGCACATTTGAGTGAGTCAGTTTAGTATCGTAATTAAACAACTATTGATGAATAGATGGCTGCGGAACTCGCTGCGCTCGTCCCGCAGAGGTCCACCCATAAGTTCCGCAACAATCCAGTCTTATCAAAATATATTACTAGTTTGGTAAAGTAACATTACTAATTCCTGTTAAAAGGCAAATTGATAAAAAGTAGATATTCTTACAAATTGTTACTTTATATAATAAGTTATTGTTCAAGTACAAATAAGTGGATTATTACGGAACTTACGGATGGACCTCTGCGGGACGAGCGCAGCGAGTTCCGCAGCCATCTACTCATCAATATACCGTTGAACTGTTCAAATAAAACATTCACCTGAAACGTATAATTTTTAAACTAATGAGAATAACGCGTGACTGAGTCAGTTTATTATAGTAACTAAACAACATATTGATGAATAGATGGCTGCGGAACTCGCTGCGCTCGTCCCGCAGAGGTCCACCCATAAATTCCGCAACAATCCACTCGTTTGTACTTGAATAACTTGTCACATTATGTAATTAGCTTGGTAAAATAACATTACTAATTCCTGTTGAAAGGCAAATTGACAAAACGTGGATAATCTTACAAATTCTGACTTTTTATAATAAGTTATTGTTCAAGTATGTACCTACCTATTTGAAATCACCTTATTCTCCTAAATAGCTCCTTCATTCCCATATTTTTATGGGCCATTCCTTCGAAAAACCGTATCTTGCACAATGCGCCAAAACTAACCCAAACTAACCCAATCTGGCTTAATTTCACTTAAACTGCCCCCCCTTTCAAAAGGTCTGTATCCGCCCCTGCCTTGTTGTATTTGAATCAACCTTTCCTGGAATAAAATTAAGGATATTTCATCCCCATTACACCTTTGTAAAAAGTTGGGAATAAACCAGAGATATTTCAAAAACGGCCTCTAATACGTAGGTTCAAAAACGACCGACCATCAAGACGTTTTATAAATGACTGTTAAAGTAACTGAGAACATCCAAAAGACGGTGAAAAAAGACGTTTAAAAATGCCTCATAAAGGATTAAACTCTTCTTAGAACTCCTGTTAGAGCATCGAAGAACTTTCATATGTCACAGCGTCTAACGTGGTATTGTATAGACGTCGGAAACGGACCTTTTTTTTAAAGTCCAATGCTTGCTATTCCATAGGGCATAATGTCACAGCTTTAAGCGTATTTTACAGGGTGTTCTTTTATGAGTTTACGCGAGATACATTTACCCTTCTTTAGAATTTCTGTGCGCATCTTCTGCCCTTTCCATCTGAATTTTTGTTTAATAGTGGCACTTCTGGTTTGATTGCAACTCGAATATTATTAGCTTTTTTCGCGGAGACGATCCCAAACGTATCCTGAACGCTAAGGCATGACCTACGCAGGTTTACTAATCAATAGAGACATGACACTTTCAAAAAAAATCTGCGTAGGTCATGCCTTAGCGTTCAGGATATGTTTGTGATCGCCTCCGGGATTTTTTTTTTTTTTAATAAAATCATATTCTTAACATCATTTTACATTTTCCGATACAGGAAGTAGTCCAATTTTAATTTACAAAATCATTATAATAGATAATAATCCATGTTCCTAAGTCATTGATGAAGTACCTGCTTAATGAGGTATAGTTAAAACCCCAACTCATTGAAGTTTTTATCAATGGAAATCGCATTTAACTGTGCGTACATATTAGTAAAACAAGTTTGGGTAGATTCTTTGAAATAAATGCAAATTTTGGGAAATATTACACTCATCAATAAACCGGTACCTATTGATTATTAAAAATTATTAAATTATATTTATTATCAACACACACAATAATAACACTTACCAATAATATCTGAAAAATAAACACAAACAATTTTTCCCTGTTCGGACTTTATAACTGAATGAAAAAGGTGAAATGCTCAACTTTATTGATTGGCGATCAGAGGAATCCCCAAATTAAAATGATTCAAACCAAAATATCAACGATGATCAGTCAGTTTTTCTAGACGTTATAACCTTCGTAATTGGTATGATAAAATAGACAGCTAAGTGTGTGTTAAGGAGAATATTGAAACGTGTGAGACACAAGTTAAGTAAAATTATATCCTTATTACCGTAAGTTTTGCATGATCCCCCTAATAGCAGTCGACCGAAATATTAAAAGAGATCAGGTAAAAGATTCTTGATCGAATTAGTCAATGAGGGTAAACACGTCCGGACCTTCACTGCAACATCATCAAGGCCGGTTTTTCGTCAGTTCAACAATTTGTATTATATCCGATTTTGCGACATCCGGTATGGGAATTTCAGTAATTTTGTTAATGCTGATTAGGTGTTAATTAATATGTATTTTCAATACGGATAACATGAAGTTTTAAGTCTTAGTTAAGTGCTTCGATAATTAAGACTTTGATGAAAATGACGCTAAAAGTTGCTTTTTGCATATTCAGTGTCAATGGAAAGTCCTTATATATAATAATGATAAAATTATTCAATTATACATCAAAAGTTCCATAAAATAATCTCAACGACTCTATGGTGCCAACGTATAAACCTTGCGACGAGAAGACAACGTTGCATCCTATCTTTGACGGTCGCGAGGACGTTGTTTTGGATTACATTTTCTAACTATAAGACAACGACGTTGGAACATCGTCGTTTAGTAGTCATAACGACAACTAACTGTTCAATTTGTAGTCGGATGTCAGGAAAATGCTAGCTGGCTTTTTTGGTTGATAACGAGGAATTTCATTACAATAGATTGTATATCAAAATATCAGGAAGCATATATTTAATTGAATAGAAGTTCCTTTGTACCTACATCAAATTTTTCTTTATTACATTTATAACAAACATAAATTCATTTATTATTGTTAGTAAATAACGGATACATAGGAGACCCAAGTGAGCGAGAAAAAGGCGTGTATTTCGCAACCCGCCTACGCCCACGGACACAATCCTCTGGTTTAATAGATGACATTGCTTAATATATGACGTCATATAACTGAAGGTTGCCTTTTTTTTTGCGGATTTCTCAAACAATTCCTGAATCATTCGTATGGTAGCCGATACGTTACTGCAATGCGTGTGAATGATTTTTCGTAAGCGCGCTCATAAATAAATTATAAAGATGATGATATTTTGCAGGCGAGGATATTTTTGTACCCGTGAGAACGGGATGTCATAAAATTAGAATATTGTATTGTTCTGAGAAATAAATTTATTGTATTTTTGTTCAAGTGTAGGTATTGAATTTTGAAATTGTTACA